ACAACGTAATAGTGCTTCCGCTAGCTGCACTTCGTAACTGTGGCGTGCCAAGAAGCTCTTCACACATCCATGGAAGTCAGAGAAGAAATACGGGCTCAGTCTGGCCCATGCAGACTAGTTCTGTTGTATGCACTGTCTAGTTGTAGCTACAGAGCGGTTGAAGCACCTCCCTGCCACTTACTAGCTTTTCATTTTTAAATATTGTTGTACCCACTCTCAGGTCACAGCCTTAGGACCAAATCATACCCTGAATGCATGCACTGGGTTTTCTCTTAACGGGAACCACGAGGCTGCAGTGGAAACAAAACAGTGGTCCCATACGTCTCCCATGTGTTTTGATGTAATAGGTCAGTGGTCTCCAACCTTTTTAAGCACAAGATCACTTTTGAATTCATGTCAGTCCAGGATCTACCTCAAATCCAAATACCCCTGCCACACCCCCTTCGCCAAGGCCCCATCCTCCTCATTCTGAAGATGGGGTACAGGGGAGGGGGACAGAGTGACACCAATGCCCCCCTGCTTCTGTCTCCCCCACTCTGCACAACAAGCAGGAGGCTCCCAGCAGGCAGCTCTGAGGCTCTAGGCATGAGCAGCAGGGCAGTGGGCAGGAGCAGCTGAAGTGCTGGCACTTGATAGCCTCCCAGCCAAACCAGTCAGGATCACCTGTCAGAGGCTCCAAGATGTGCCGGTAAATCCTGATCTACTGGTTGGTGACCACTGTAATAGGTGAAGACAAGAGCCTCAGCTGCTGTAAATAAGCGGAGCAGCACCACTTTGCACAAGTTGGCAAGGTGGCGCTGCCTTTTGACCAACCAGCACTTCTTTTCCTCCAACCCACAGTTAAACATTCGTAAAAACCAGGGAGAACTTGTACAAGACAGTGCTTTATTTGTTTCATAAACAGGTAAAATTATATTAATGTAAAACAGATAAACAGACAAAAATAAAACAGCACAGAACACTAGGCTATAGAATAAAGACATGGAGAAGTGCAAACCCTTGCCCCGTGTCCCTTCACCCCACAATCTGCTTTAAAAGTAACAATACAAGATTAACTGCCTTAGAAATTGGGAAAATATAGATGAGTTGCTTTTTTCCAAACAGAGGGGGAAGGGAGAATCCATAGAAAGAATTTTCACTCCAATATGAAAAAGCAGAATTTTCAGTGAACACGAAAGTCTATAAAATTGATCCGTGTTATTTTTTTTGATTTTTTTAAAAGTTGCTTTAAAAAGGATAAAAAGTGCACAGACACCCTTATAAGGCACAAACAGATCTTCTGTACAAATTATATCAGACTAAAAATATATATAGCGGTACAAGTACAAACAATTAAATTCCTATGAGGTCACCTTTTTCCTGGGAATCTTAGTGGCCTCTCTGGTTTCCCTTTGGAAATCCTCAACAAACTGGAATAGGTAGGTTTACATGTCCACTAATGCTCATTTCACAATCCACGACACAGCCACAGTCTGGACATTAAACTAGCTTAATTACCCTGAATGATTGAGCCCTCTGCCTCTGCTGGGCGCTGCCCTTTTGCAAATCTATTTGCAGCCACTATTCTGGAAATTTCATTTTCTCATCCCAACTCTGTGCCCTGTACTGACCTCAACATCTGTAAAAGATGTATTCAAAACCACTGGTAGCAGGTGCCCAGGCAGTAGGATGGCCACTGGGATGAGTGAATTAAAGAACAGGTTTGAGAACAGCAAAGCCGGGAACGTTCAGTTGCGTTTTTTTGCAAAACGATACCATGGAATGGAGAAGGCTGGCTCTAAGCTTCATTAGGTTCTGTCCTACCAAGCCACAGCTTTATGGCACAGATAATGTGTGCAGGTTTTAAAGTCAGTGGGGCCAGATCTCCATCTCGTGTAAACAGTCATAGGATCATTGACTTAGTGGAACTATGACACTTTACACCTGCTAAAGAGCCGGCCCAAACCTATTTCAGTCTCTCTCTCTCTCTCATCCTGTCACTGCTGGGGCTTGATTTTTAAATAGGGATCAGGCCCTCCCTGAAATGAGTTATAGACAGGGCAGATTCCCAAGAAATGCCATGAAGTCTGATGTAGCACCTCCCCCTGTTCTGTGAGCATAAGCAGCCTGCTACTGCCCTCACTTCTCAGCAGAAGCCGTGACAGGGCCTGGAATCTGGGATTCTGCAACTGGAGACCAGCTGAACCAGACACAGCAACGTCTGTATTTACTTCCCCACTACTAACGCACAGAGAGTGAGCCACTTCTGGGCACAATGTCCTGGCTCTCTGGAGTGTGAAGGGAGTATTCTATCACTGGGCTTAAGACATCAAACTGGGGACTTGCAACCACCTACTGAGACCTCCCAACCCAGAGACCTCAGAATCCATGCCCTACTAACGGTTTTCAGAGCTCCTAGTGTAGGGACTAACATTTGGCCTATCTTTGGCAAGAAGCCCCTCCACAACTTTCATCTGCTGAACTAGTTCTCATTAGCACGCAGAGGGAGTGGAATACTTCGACGTACTAAATCGGAATCCCAAGACATTTTTTTTTTGTATTGTGGGGTTCAAGGATTCTTTTGTGCTACCGAGAATCCATGCCCAGCTGCTGGTACAAGAACTTGGGAGCCTCAAGAAGCAATTGCTGTCCTCTGTTGCAACATTTAATGTGACATCCTAGGGGAGGGGCAAGTCTTCAGTTGTTGCAGGTTGTCATTGACTCAGTCCCTCAGAGCAATGATGTTTTACACCAGGTTTGCACCTGCTCCTTTCTTATGCTGTTGACTGGTCCTTCAAGGGGTTCCATTTGTTTCATTAAGTTTATTGTGCAGCATGATGAGGCCCTAACTAGCCACCCTCTTTCAAAATCTCAGATCAGCTCAGCCCAGGGTGCTAGTACAGAAATGAAAGGCCTGAGATCTAAGCTAAGGCTGCAGCAGCTACTCTACTATTCCTCAAGAAAAAAAGTGTCCCCCCCATCCCTGTTTAGTTCTTCCAAGATCTGCACATCAGGAAAAAAAATCAAAGGGAAGGGAGGGCATTTCTCATGTAACAGGTAACCATAATCTATTTCCATTTGAGATAGCCACCAGCATCCAAAGCACCAGCTGGGCAGATTAATGCAAGTTTGCTGATTCCATTCACCTGCAAAGTGATACAGTTAAAGCACCCAGGTCAAGAACAACAAAGACGGAAAGCAATAAAGTGGAGGCATCATTACTATAGCCCTGGGGTGCATGTGACAATTCTGTTTTCACTTCTAGATTGATAAATGCACCTCTCCAGAGAAAGCAGCCATTACCGGGCTGTAAATGAACACACTGCAGGGATCAGACATGTCTCATCTCCATCTCCGACCTCATCATACATAAGCTGGACTGAGTAAAAAAGTCATCCCCAGACTTGTTCCATCATCTGGCTATGGAAAAGAAGAGGGGGGCATACATGTCCCTTCTGGGGTACAAAAGACTGGGCCAGCAGGGAGTAAATAGAACTACACCCACCTCTTCTCACTTCAGTGTAGCAGCGGGTTTAACAGCCCGGGCAGAATTCCATAGTTTATAGCTGTCTAATATGACAACTAAAATCCATTTACCTTTTAAGCCCAACATCTAATAATAGATTGAATCCTTTTTCCAAGAGGTAATGCCAAGTGAGATGCTTGTTAATTTCAATTAGATGCCCTGAATTGCTCACTAAAATAACAGGATTTCCTGCCAGGCCCATTGCATGCTTGGTGGATAAAACCCTGAGCAGAAGAGAGTGCAAGTTAAACTGGACTTTTACACACCCTTTTTATGGGAAAAAAGGAAACTTCCTGGAACTGCAGACTACTGAGTGCAGCCTCTCTGAGCCTTGCTGCAACTGCACACGGACACCTGGGTACAGCAACTTACAGTCTCCACTGTAGTTAGGGACTACAGCTCCATGAGGTTTCTGCAAGATATTGTACTCCCAGTGGGAAAAGATGTAAGTGCCATGCCAAGGTGCAGGCTGGAAAGAAGGTCTTAAAAGGGACTTAAGTCACACATGACTTTGGGTGTTCAGCAGCTGTTAGATGACCCATGAAAATACCGTTTTACAGAGAAGAGCAATGCAATCTATTTTACATAAAGCACTTTACAATTACAAGAATATTATAACTGTCTCTCCTTCCTGTGCAGCCAGTGTTGCATGTACAGCTACCTCCTCACTTCCTTTCCTTTAGGCTGAGATGATAACAATGTAGCTGTGTGTCTGTCTCTCTTTCATGATCTAAGGCAAGGTGGTAACAGACTAATATGAAAAATAACTCCAGTAAATACATTAAATGGCCTATTAACTAAATTCCTACTTGGACTGTATGAGGATCCAAAATAGATTGTACTAATTCTTCCCCTCGGTGGTACCAAGGTCTGGCTTCAGCCAATCTACAGCTATACTGTGGGAAGGGGACTGCATCGCTCCTAATATACACTAGTTCTCCTTCCTGTACTCCCCTCCCAGCTCCTTTAAGGTGAAGAATGTAAAAGCTGCTCTGCATTTACACAAGCTCAGAGTTCTGCATTTCTACTGCAAGAACTAGTGACAATGAAGACATCTCAGACTGCTCAGGGTGGCTTGAAGCATTTGACACATTATCCTGGTACAGTGCTAACACTACAGAATCCAGATCTTTAATAAGTAAATGAGGCTCTGGATTTCTAAACTGCTTGGCTCTGAAGTATAATTTGTAGCCTACACCTGTATTCAGTCCCTGACTTGAGATTTAATTTTTTTTTTTGTTTAATCTACAAAGCATTCAGTTCCACTGGCAGCTTCTGTCCTAGGACTGGCTCTCAACTCCAGTCTATTACCTGCTGCTGTCCTGACAAGCACTAACCCCAGCAATTACAGTAGCAGTTTCAAAGTTTTCACTCCCTGGGTGTGAAAGTGGGTGCTCCTGACCCAGGTGACAGCATAAACGTAAAATCAACTCCCTCCCTGCACCAGCCCCCCTCCCTAGAAAAG